TTCATGCACGGCGCATTTTCCGGAGCCCCGGACCCCGCGCGGACTTCTCAGCATGTACAGATTTGTATAATTGTAAAAATATAAAAATGTACATTTGTCGTATGCGCATGTTTAGTTATTTTTTTTTTCCCGCTTTCTCCCTCCTTTTGTATATGATGCTGATGATATGCCATCCTCTATTTTACTCTTCCTCTGCAGAACATGGTTAACAGAGAAGTAGAGGAAATAGTCAAATCAGATGAGGAAATCGTCAAATCAGATGAGGAAACCGTCAAATCGGATGACGAGACGGCCAATCCTCATGAGGAAGACGGAAAAAGGGAATGCAAGAGAACAACAGGGAATTGCACTGGGGAGTTTTTAGCCCATCCGAATGATAACCAAGAAAAAGATTGTTACGAAGAGAGGGATACTGAGGAAGGTTATAGTAATCGCAATGCAAACAGTAAAATGCCAAGGGATCTGTGCTTCGATAGGTCCCTTATCGAGAATTGGGGTGGAGAAAAAGGAAGCATTATTCATAAAGAGAAACATAAGGAGGAGGGAGACGGCGCGGATAGAGTGGAAGATCCCAAAACGAACGATCATATCCTCTGTGTGGAAATTGAAACGGAGCCAAAGGATGAAGACGCGTCTTCACCCGTAATGGCCACCGGCAACGGCGGACCGTTCCATTCGCGGAAAAGTTACCCTGGGGAAGAAGCAGACGTGCCAAGTGAGACGGGCCAAGTGGGTCACACAGGCAGAGGAAACCAAGAAACCGGAGCTACCCGAGAAGTCCCAAATCGCAGCTACCGCAACGCGGGCGAAGGGGATGAAAAATTAAGCACCGACTTCATTTGCACGAGGGAGCACCTGGACCGTGGGAAGGACCAGCAGAGTAAAGATGGTGGTCACAAGCATAACGGTGCGAAAGAGGAGGACGTGTATTGCAGAATTGACACCTATCCAACAGTCGGCACAATCCGAGTGGCGGCCATATGCCGGAACGACTCAAATAATGTTTCTGTTAAAGTTTTCAGTGACTTTCACGCATGCAAAGAAGGAAGTCAAAAAAGGAAAGAGGAGCTATCCGGCGGATGGGAGGAGGAAGGTAAAATTATGCGCGAAGGCGGAAACGATAGCGAAGGTTCTGGGGGAAATGACAACAGAGGCGAGGCCACAAGCGGGGCTAGAAGCGAGCCGACAAAAGGGGCCACAAGCGGAATCGTCGGGGAACCCCCAAACACTGACCCAAGTGTTGGCAAAATCAGCGACCTGGGCCATGCAAGCAGCAAGTACACAGAAGGTGCGTTTAGCCAAAATACTAACGCATTAAATGACGGTTATCACTTAGCTAATGAGAAAATAAGTCAAAACGATTTAATTAAAAAAAAAAAAAATTTGCCCAAGAGGGTGCATTACGAAGGATAAGGCCAAGTGCACAAGATAATCCAGATGATCACTCCCGTGTTAACAGAATGGGAAGCTACAAAATTGAGCAATATGTTTTCTTAAAGGGCACAGTAACTTCGGAACTGGGCAGTGATGACAGTAGAGGTAGTGGTGAAAAGGGTGGAAATGGTGAACAGGGTGATAGTACTATCCTCCCGCGTGACTTAGAAGAACACGCTCACATTTCTGATCAGCAGAATTGCTCAAAAAGCACCCTGATGGGTAGCGACCGAGAGTGCATAAGCGCCCGGGTCAGTGAAAAGTCGGATGCAGAATTGGATACAAAGTCAGATGCAAGGGCGCATTCAGGGAAACATGTAAGGTCGCATGCACAATCGGATGAGGCATCGGATACTGCGCCTGATGCGGCATCGACTGTACTTCTTGATGCACACCCCGAGGAGCAATCGAATTTTCAGCCCGATCAAAACCAAAGGAGAAAGGGAACAGATCTCAGCCAAGAAGTAAAAGAAAAAAAAATCCATTTTTTAAACATCAGCAAGGAGAGTAACACAATAGGAAGAGGAGCAAACTTATCCCTTGAGTATCACCATTACCAGTCCCCTTTTCACCCCAAGGAAAAATGTGCGACGCCAAGTACAGTCAAATATGATACACTGCCAGGTGAAAAGGTTAGTCCCCACTGTAGTACTCCTACACAGAAGAAGGATAATGTGAATAAGAGTAACTATCATGAATCGGAGGAACAAGAAGTGCTTCTTCAACATTCTGATAAAAGAAAAACAATTAAAAAGAATTGCGAAATGGGCAGTAGCGACATGATTGACTTAATTATAAGATTGCATGGTGACAGATCCCCAACAGAGGGAAGTTGGAAAGGAGCCGAGGTCAATGCGGATGTGTGCGCTGTTGTAAATAATCCCAGAAGCAGGGGCTATTACGTTACTAAAGAGGAGCGGAAGCCTGCACACTCCGCGGGGCAAAGTGTCGCAGAAAAGGAACCCCCAAGTGGGAGGTTATTCCCCGAAGGGGCATCCCCCTATAAGAACATAAAGGATGGAGGAAAATTTTTTTTGAATACCAAGGCGAATGAACTGTCACATGAAAAGGACAAAATTGTGGATGGTGTTTCTAACGTTGAAGGGGGGCGTGCCGAGATACCCCATTTGAGTGACAGTGCACATTGCGAAAATGAAACCGCCATGTCGATGAGGTTGACGACCCCGGTGAGCACCACCACGCAGGTGACTCGAGTGACGAGGATGAGCAGTTTGAAGAAGGCGGAGGAAACAAAAGGGAAAGACCTCACTAACAGTAATGATAAAGAATTAGTAGTAGGGAGAATTCAAAAGGAGGGTGACAGCCCTAAGGGAAGGCACCATCCGAAGAGGGCGTTATCGAGTGAGGCAAGTTCGTCATCAGAAGGTGCTGATGCGAATGGCGATGTGAGTGGCAATGGAAGTGGCGATGAGAATGACGATGGAGACGATCATTATGATCGCCATGACGGTGGAGTGCTGGATGGGGCCTCGATCAGGAGAGGCTTCCCCTCGTTGCACATCCGAAGCAGCGGAGCAGAATGGAAAAATGGCTCCCCAGTTAGTGGACATAAGTGCGATGGGAACGTTAAGAGTAAAAGAAGCGACGTCGATGAATACAACGGGGTCAGAAGAGTCCGTGGGGAAGGAACAACCCCTCTGGAAAAGGAAGGAAGAAAAAAACACCCCAAGTTTTACAAAGGGACATGTGAGGATTCCAGCGAAAGTCACAGAATAAATAGTAGTTGCTCTGACAAGGCCGCTAGCACGAGGGAGGACTATTACAAAAAGGGTGTGCAAAGCGAGTACAGACTTAGGGAGAATAGGCAAAGCAGACAAGGCAAACAGAAGAAGATGAGCCAGCCAAGTGAGCTGAATCAGCTACATCGGATCAATGAGTCATATCAACAGAGTCAACCAAATCGGCCAAATAGACGAAGTGATGCCCTTACTCTGGATGTGAAGAACAACTGCCACACGGGACAAGAACCGAGAACGGGAAGAAATGGAAAAAGAAACTACCTCAAGAAGCCAGAAATAGAAATGGAAGATTTCAAAATGCGCAATGACATGCAAAAAGAGAATAAGAATAGGGAGAACAGCACCCTCCATGATGAACTGCACCAGTGGAAAATGGAAGGTGGTGGTGGTAACTCTCATGACGAGGGGAAGAGCCTCCAAGGGGGGCCGAAGGATGGTAAGAAGAGAAGAAATATGTCCCTAGTGAACGGAGGGCACAGAATTAGGGAAGTGGAAGGGACATGGAAAGATCATAACCTGATACACGCGAGGAGGATGATGAAATTGGGAAGGCAGACGCCGAAAAGAGATGTAAGAAACGAGCGCGACAGAAGAAACCAGACCAAGACAGAGGAGGACAAATGCAGTCGCTACGACGATGACGAAGAGGACGAGGATAATCATGCCCATGACAATAAGAGTGACTATGAAAATGACGCTGATAGCAACAGTGTGGGCCGATTTGACAGGCGAAGCGATCGAGACGTGCCCCGGGAGAATCTCGCGAATGGAGCTCATCATAACGACGTGGGAGATGAAGAAGATGCTGGTGTCGCTGATGGTGTAGTTGATGGGGAAGCGGCGGACGAGGATGACGTGAGTCATTCGCGCGAAATTCAGAGGAACATCGACTACATCATGCAAAACGACGATATAGACTTCTCCCGGATCAGCGTGAAGCCCAGCAAGAATTACGTCAAAATTAACTTATTTATTGATCGGTACATACTGAGCTATAATGAACTTGAGAACAGCGAGCTACTGTTCTGCTTTGGAGAATCCAGTGAAGAAGACGTGATGACGACTAGGAGGAGCTCCGTGAAGGAAGGAGGTGAGGATGGAGGCGATGACAGTCAAAACGATGGACCACTGAGTATGAGAAAAAAGAATGCAGCTTCATCATACAAGAAAAAAAACAGGCAACAGAAAAATAGGAAAATAAATTACTATGCCATTGATACCATGTGGCAGCCCCACTTCCATCCACACAACAAGGAATTTAGAGTGAGGTACCGATACAAAGGAAGCATGAGACTGAAAACGATCTCGTGCAAGCACTATGGTTACTTGCCCAGTAAAAAGATATCGATACTATTCTTGTTCAGATGGCTACTCTGCGGTAAGTACATTGCAGAGAAAACCAAAAGGTCAAGGTTAAGCATCACAGATATTAATGATTGTAATTTACCTGACCTTCTCTCAAAAAAGAGAAATAAAAATAATGGCTACATGACTGACGATGAATGGAAAGCTCTGGAAGAAAAAAAAAGCAAAGAGTTTTACGAGCATGTAAATAAAATCAATAACTTCCTGATAAGTAACTACAAAGATGATACCTTTGTGAATAAACTGAAGGTAATCATTAACGGCTGTGACAAGCATTTTAAGAGGGAGGAGGTGCTGAATATACTTAATCAGTGTCTGCGGGATAAGTTGACCAGCGAGCAGCGAAGGGAATCTCTGATGCGGGGCGATGGCGGCATGGTTGGCTGCTCGGTCCAAAGCGCGGTTGCAAGAGCGGTTGACAGTTCGCAGGGAAGTTCGCCTAGTGGAGGGAACACAATGAGGGGCACAATGAGAGGCACAATGAGCGGCCGAAGAGAACAAAGGCGTGAGCCGAGAATGGAACAATTGCCCCGCGCGAGCGCCCCCCCGGTGAACAGCAAAAAGAGGAAGCGGACATTCAACCAAAGCGGCGACCCATACTGCAAAGAGAGCATGGATGATGGAAGTATCATCCATAGTAGCAGTGGCAGCAGTAAGGGAAGCAGTCACGGAAATAGCCAAGGAGGTAGCCACGAAGGTATCCATAGCAGCAGCAGCATTGGCGACAGCATGGGGAAGGTCATCTTTGCCAGCAAGAAGAAGAAGAAGGAATCCTTTTTCGAAAGGGCCAATGGTGGTAATGAAGGTGCCAAGGTGGGTGCAGCACAGGTGAGGAAGAAGGACGAAAAAAACGCCATGTGGAGAGGAGGATACAACAGACAAAATAGAACCGATGAAGAAAAAGGAAATGGGGATACGCTTCACGATGTCCGAGTTAACCGCATTGGAATGAAGTACTTGCCCATGCATTGTGCTGAAACGGAATTGAGCGATGAAGGCGGGGCAAAGGGCGATCGTTCTAGAAACAGGAACGCAGAGTTGTGTGACAACAAAATGGTAACCATGCATCACGGGGGGAGTTTATACCATGGGTGTGACGAGGTGCACGGAAGGAGCGCAAATTTTCAGCCCAACGGGAATGTCGTCCATGGGGGCTTCGCCAAGGCTAGAGAAAGAAGCTTAGTACACCAGGGCATCAGCGGAGGAAGTGAGCGCGGCGCAAGCGAGCGCAGCCGAGTGGACTCCTCTCCTTCTCATTCCCCAGGCAGTAAGTACCTTGCTAGCTACCCATCCTACGCAGAGCTGGAGAAGCTATCCAATACAGAAGAAATCAGGGATTGTTATAACTCCCTCATAGAGCTGAAAAAGTCCCTCTATATCCGAAGCCACCACAGAGACATGGATGACGAGGTGAGCTACTCAAATATCAACGACCATTTTATGGAGCTCCTGAATAAGGAATCTCGCAGGAGCAATAATAGCAGCAGTAATAGCAGACACAAGAGAAATTCCAATGATTCGATGGATCCTGATGTTACTAAAGAGTCTGACGCATTTTTATTTGCTATTTATTATGCCAATCGTGAGAATGTCGCAGCGATGGGTTCAAAGAGGGGAGGACGAGGGATGTCCCCCCATAGTGAAGGCACAACAACCCCTAGCAACAAGGCCTTATCTCCAACCACGTACGGTGAAGCCAATAGTCCATCTGAGCGAATGCAGAAAATCGATTTTAACATGAATCAAAAAAACACAGAAATGCCAGCGAAGCACAGCTGTACCCCCCTCCAACATGAAAATAATTATCTGAATGCATACCCTAATTTGAACAATGTGAATGGCTCGAAGAAAATAAGTAACGTCTCTACGTGTCCTAGTTTGGGCGTAAGTAGCTACTCTGTGGGGAGCCCCACACAAGGTGATAAAAAAAATGTACCGTCTTGTTCCGTGTCCAATGAAAGGAATAAAATTGGCAAAGACGTCACCGATGAGGAGAAATTGGACTATGTGACGGAGCAGTTAAAGACGAAATCATTGAATATGGTTGAGGCAAGAGAACTGCTTAACTCATTCGCAGAGAAGTATTCGCAGTTTATTTTTTCGGACAGGAGTGTATTTTTGAAGCATGTTCGGGGGGATGGACAGGAGGCGCAGCGGCAGACGCTGGAGGGCACTGCAAAGGGTACTGAAGAAGGCAGTCCAGAAGCGAATCACCATGAGTTGTCCTCCTTGGGAGACGCCTCTATGGACCCCTATCGCTTTATAGACAGACACAACAGCATCGCGTCAGATAGGTCTCCCAAAGGTCGCAACCTTGTGGGCGCCGATGAGAACGAGCCTAGGCACTTCCCTGTGCGAGAAAAAATCGTCCTAGGAAATGAACACAGCGTGAGATGCAGCGACGGTCCTACCGAACAACAACGTGCGTACCAGAAGAATCCACGAGGGGTTTTGTTATTCCCCTCACAAGATGCTAATTCAGGGAAAGGTGACTCCCCCCGGAGTAAAAATGAGCCGACGAGCGAAGGGGTGCAGTCAGAACGAGAAGCAAAACTGGAAGCAGAGCCACATGGCAGTTTAAAAAAAGGAGACGTTTCTGGCGATGAAAACATCAAGGACATAATTGACATTCTGGTAAAGAGCAAATACCTGCGCGAGGCCAATTACGACGATTCTCTGAGCAGCAACGTCGAGTGCTCACATGAGCGCGGCAGAAGTAGCCCCCGCTGTTTGTATTGTGCCTGCATGGCTAGCCTAAATCGTAAGGGCGTAGAAATGGAAAACGAAGGCGATTGCGTGGCTGGATCGAATTACAACCACGAGGTGGAAGATGCAAAGGAGGTTGAAGATGCGCTGAAAGGAAGTGACCAAAAGGATGGGCACCTACACCGGGACGAAGATAACGTGGAGAGGCACCCCCCCTGCGAAGGAGAAGAAAAAAACAGCTTATGCAATTCGTCCTGCCATTACTGCACCTTTTACACTAAATTGTTAAAGATGTTAAGGCAAAATAAGGGGGTCGAAAGGGGGAACGGGTATGGGATGAATAAAGAGGGCGACAATGTCGATTGGCACATCAGGAAGCATTTAAGTAACATTGAGGGTCCCAGTTTGATGAGGGAGGACTGCAGTGAGGAGATGTTGACGACACAAGTGAATAGCGGTAGTAACAGCATCCCTCCCGTCGAGTTGTGCAATCGTATTTTTAACTATATGATGCAAAAGGGAGGAAGCGAAAGGGTCGCTCGTGGCAGCGCGAAGGACATGCCCGATCGGAGTGAACAACGTCGCGGAGAAATGGAAGATGGCGCGAAGCAACGAGCGATGGCTGATGCCATCCGGAGCGGTACAACAACCGGGAGGATTAAGAAAGATCTGATGAGCGCCTTTTTGCAGGAACTGTTTAGTTCGGTGCCGAGAGAAAACCCTGATGTGAAGTGCTGTGCCAGCTTGTCCGAGTACACGGAAGGGATGAGGGGGCGGACTCACAACGGAGAAGATGAAAACGGTGAGTTCGCCGACTATGTTGGAGAAAACGCTCGACGGTATAACCACAGCCACGGTCGCCCCAACAACGGCGTGCAGAACTTCCCCCGAAGTGTCGCCTTGAAGGACGAGTTTGAGAGGCCACCCCTGCAGAACATGCCATACATTAAAACAGACGTACAAAGGAAAAAAGACAGCAACCGCTTCGCCAGGCAAGCACAAACGAACGAATTTCTACCCCTTGGTGAAAAACAGTCCGAATTCATAATGAACAAGGATAACTTTGAGTTAATAACAAATTTTATTAACGACGTTAAAGTGAAGAACTACAGTACGTGCGGAGAAATGAAGGACCATAGGACCTTCCACGACAGAGAAAACAGCATCACGGATCATATTCTGCCTCGGCAGAGCAGCAAAGAGAGTAGGCTGAAGAAGAAGAAGATGAAGAAGACGAAGAGGACGAAGAAGCAGAACCGGCATGATAATCAAAATAATAATTACGCAGGACAGGGAAGCGAAAAGGAAAGCCAAAGCGAAAGCGAAAAAGAAAGCATAAACGAAAGCGAAAACAGCGTCTTAAGTCCTTCTACACGAAGAACGCTAAATGAGAAAATGTTTAAGGTAAAAAGTAGTGACAATTTGAACAACTCCTTGCTCGTCGACTCGATAAATAATAACGTGTAAAGGGGGCGAGGGGTAGCCTTGTTGGCTGAAGTGCAAAGCAGAGAGCTTCGGGAAAGGCGTCCTGGTCTGGTCCAGTTGGCGAGAGAAGAGGCAAGTCGATTTTGTTCCAACAGAAGAGAGACTCGCCGCGTCATGTTATCACCGCTTCATCGTGCCACCGTCTCATCCCGTGACTGCCTCATCCTGCTGGGGTTGTTTTCCCAAAGGGGGAAAGCAAGCATCGCAACTTTTAATTTTCAAAATAAAGGAGGTAATCGCGAGTGCATTTGGAGCATATATATATATATACAATCCTGCCGCTTCTCCCCTTGGCAAAGTTCCGCCGCTCCGGAATCATCTCCACTTTTTTGTTCACCGTGGAACATTTCACATGGTTATAGACTGGAAGGAGAACAGTTGTGCGACCAACCTTGGAGTTTCATGGTGAGCAATTTATCGTGTCTTTATTTGTGCATATTGTCATATATGAGCTCGTGGACGATCGACTAGAAGACATCCATCCCCATTCCCTGCTTTTAGCATAATTACAGCTAGAGAGGGGAAGGAGGTGGAGCCGTAGGTTGTCTCATTTTGCTGAAGCTTGCTTTGGCCTTACTCGACGTGGCGAGATTCTCACCTCCTACGTGAATAAATGTGTACACGGGTGCATTACGTGGGAATACCCCTCCACGTGAGAGGCCGCCTTTTTTAATTTTTTTTTTGTAACGATATTTTCCCGAAATTATGTCTCTACCCGCCCCAGGATGCAATTTTGCAAGCATGCATATTTTACAACAGTGAAAAATTTTGTTTTATGTGCCGCGTAAAGTAATGAAAGGAGTAGCAGCGATGGTGAGGCCTGTGAAGGCTGTCGCCATTTTATGAGTGTGATGGCCTCCGTTAATTCTACCGCTATGAGGGAGACCTCTGTGAGAGATACCTCTGTGAGAGACACTTCCGTGAGAGTGACCCCTATGAGAGTGACCTCTGTGAGAGAGACCGCCGTGATGACCGCCTTGATTGCTCTCACTGCGGCCCTTACGGAGCCGAAGATTCGCAAGTCCGACGCTTCAAAAGAGGCTGATGCGCCCGAAGCTCCTTTTTGAAACGGATCACTCTAGCGTGTGTCTACCATGTCACTGCATGTATGAACAGCCTATGGGTGCGCCCCTAAATGTCCGAGCGAATGGGTGATGATGCCGCATTGGGGGCGACCCCCACATTGGCTTCAAACTTTTTGTAAAAAAAAGATGTTAATCCTGTCTCTGTCTCTTCCTACGTCCATGTCTCCGATTTTTTTTTTTTTTCTTTTTTCCATAGCGAGTGTAATTTTTACACCCCCGTGTCTCTCCTGATTTATCTCTGTCCCGTTTGCTTACACATCGATTAACTTTTGTTTTAAATTCCGTTTTTACGTATTAATATAATCACAAAGAGATGGGCAAACACACACAAGGATGATGTGAATAGCAATGGTTGGAGAAAGGGAAAAAAGGTGTATGGGGGGATGATATTTGTCACCTCTGTTTTTCTCACGATACAGAAATATGCTCTGGGCAATTTTCCCGATTTTTCGGGTAGCACATGGAAGAAGGTAAACAGAGGCTGAATTTTGTCTTCCCATTTTCTGGGAGGATTGGCCTTATATTATATCAACCTCCCCTTTATTTTCGCTCACACGAAATGCCTTTTTTTTTTTTTATCATAAAAAGGTTGGTGTGATTAAAAACCGTTTTAATTAAAAAAAAAAAAAAAAACATCACTTGTCTGATTCAAAAATTAAAAAGTACTAATATGATACACTTAAAACGATATTTGGGGGGGTTTCTTTCCAAGCGCATAAAAGGGGGCATTTTCGCAGTGTGGTGGTGGCCCTTTTGGCTGGCCCGAAATGTGCGACACATATGTCCATATGCGCGAAGGGGGATAAAATGTTCTTCTTTGGCTGACAATCAACCCTGCTTTTTTTTTCTTTCCCCGTTGTTTCCTCTTTTTTTTTCCTCTTTTTTTTTCCTCTTTTTTTTTCCTTTTTTTTTTTCCTCTTTTTTTTCCTCTTTTTTTTCCTCTTTTTTTTCTTCTTTTTTTCCTCTTTTTTTCCTGTTTTTTTGGCCTACTTCCCCCCGTCAGGACTCCGTGGTGTACATAAAAATGGACGGGTTTCCCGGGTTGGCTAACTTATAAATGTCTGTATCGTCAATCGGGGATTTATTGGTATTTTCCATGATGTGAATGTCGCCAAGGTTTAGGCTCCTCCGAATAAATTCGACGTTATTCTTTATGAGTTGTATTTCGTCATAGGGGAGGCTTAGCTCGTACTGGTTGTTGTTGAGTGTGACGTTGTCCTTGACTAGGAAGGTGGCGAAGCTTAGGATTTCCTTCTTCTCATTTTTTGGCAACTTATTCACATAGTCGTTTTGTACCAGCAGGTTGATATAGTTAGTGGGTAGCTTCTTATCCTCACTGTTGTTAATAATTCGGTTAAGTATTTCGATGATTTTTTTTTGCGTATCGTTATACTCCCTCGCAACGTAGACGATGGCTTTAAATTTCGTTCCCTCGTCGTCCTCCTCCTTGTACGCTTCTTCCTTCTGTTCGTCAGATGGTCCTCCCCGGTTGGCTGCCCCTCCCTCGTCTGGCGCGCGCTTCGCCCCGCTTCCATTACCGCCTCCGCTACCACTTCCACTACCTTTGGTCGCCTTCTGCTTGTTATTCTTGTTGATGACCTTATCGTAGGACTTCCTAAAAATCTCAACAACATTGAGGAGGTTATTGTACTGCTTGTGCATGACGATTGAGTAGCTGATGTTGTCGGAGGACGGCCACTTTTGGTTGACTAGAAAATCTTCCTTCTTTAAGATGTATGTCCAAATATGCTCCGTGACATGGGGAATCAGGGGATTGATAATTAAGCAGATTCTTTCTATAAAAAAATTGACCGTCTCTTTGTGCATATGAATTTTGTCACACATAATTCGGTAAGTGTCCCTTTTGAGCAGCATGTCGTAGAAGCCATACTTGAGGACATCCCTGAAAAGCAGCTTCTCATACGACTCTTTGCATTTATTGGTGAGATAGTTAATTTCATTTTCGAATATCGAATCGATAAATGTTTTCTCGCCACATCGAAAGATGTATACGTTATTCTTCGTTTCGATGGAGAAGTTAATCAAATTGTACAGCTTCATGATGGCACTGTTAGCTGTATCTGTATTGAAATTTGCGTCCTCGATGGAATCCCCCGCATCTGCCAGTGCAATCCTCGTCCCGTCACTTGTGTACAGATTTATACTCTGCTGTAGGGTAATAAAATTGCCTTTACTTTTTGACATTTTTTCTTTATTTACCAACACATGTCCGTTACAGAAAAATGATTTGGGAAAATATTTCACCGTTTCGTGTGCCTCCAGATCAAGCTGATCAATTTCGCTCAGTATTTCTCCTTGTCTCTCTAGGATGCTCTTCTCATCATTCGTCTCCTTCTGCTTGTTGCTGTAGGTTTTTTTTCCCCAAATAGCTACGTGGTTAAATAGAGCCATTGTCAAATGGTTAAATATTAAGTCTTTTCCTGATATTCTGACATCGAATGGGTACCAGTACTGGAATTCCCTTCTCATCCTTTGTAGCTTATCCGCACTGATATTTTTGCTGATTTTTTCCGTGTCATCACTGATGTCGAAGACGTAGTCGAAGAAGGCATCGTTAAGGTCCGCCGCGTCGATGTCGAGGAGACCGCGCGCACTCCCGTCCACGTTGCCCTGCAGGAAGTGACTGATCGTGTAGTACGCCATGTAGATGGTCGAGTCTGAGAGGCTTTCGATAAGCTCCTTCTCGGCGTCGGCGTCAGGTTGGGAAGGGGTGTCGACATTCTGCTTCGTAGTTCCTTTGCTGCTTCCCCCCTGCTGCATCGCATTGAAATGGGGCATCAGTGTGCCCATCCCATAGGCCCTGCTGCAGGACCAGTCGTCAAGCCAGAAAATGACGTGCTGCAGCTGCCTGTGAAGAACCTCGTTGTACGTCTGGAAGTTGTTCTTCCTCATCTGAATTAGGACGTCCTTTTTAAAATCTAAATTGCCGTAGTTTATGTACCATTGGTTGCACAAAGCAGCGATGCACTTGACGTTGTTCCTATCGATGACTAGAACCTCCGGTTCGCTGTACAGAAAGCCCTCATTATTCTTTACTATGTACTGCTTGACTAACTTCCTGCAGTTGTAGATCTTCATCCCACGATATGGTTCCACCGCCATAGTGCCTTCAAAATATTGCTTCTTGTAGAGGGTCTCTTTAACCTTCTGTAGCTTGGCATCCTTATATGAGGATATTTTCTCCAATTCGTAAAAGTACTTTCCCGTGTTGATCCCAATGTTTGGCAATTCAATGCAAGAGCAACTCTCATTATAGAGGAATTCCTCCTTTAGGTGGTACTTTTCACAGTAGTATGCCTGCTTCCTTTTTATATCCTGTAGACAGGCATAGTCATCTGCACTGTCGCTGGAAATGCATGGGACGATAGCTGTGGCGATGTTCATTTTGATGGTCGTCATGGGGAGAATGTACAAGTCTTTCTTTTGGGACAAGTTTGAGTAGGTCCGTAACCCGACAAGGTCTTCCCCTTTGATTTTCATCAGGATGAAGAGATCGGCAAGGTGGTGGGGGAAGAGGTCTTCTCCACCGCGTGGTTCCTTGCCACTGTGAGAGCTGGTCGCCTCGGTGGAGAAGTCGTTTGAGTGGCCACTGCCCTGGACGGTCGACTTGGGGGCCCTGCTAGAGCCCTTAGAAAGCATCGGTATTACTCCCTGGTAAGCCAAATTGTATAAGCTGTTCTCGGAGCATATGTAGACATTTTCGCAAACATCGATGATCTCTTCCCTTGTCATTACATTGTTGACGTAATTCTTGTCCCCATAGTGCAGCCTCTGTTTGTTGAACCCTAAGGTGACATAGTAATACTCACTTGGATTGACGAAGGTGTAATTTTGCCCATAAGCTGTCTCTGGTTTTAACGTACTGGCAAGAAGGACAATTTTCTTTTGGCTAAAAAATTTCTCATTCATAATGCTATTTTGTAAGAAATCGCTCTCTTTTTGAGGAGAAGGAGAAGGAGAAGAGGAAGAAGAGACATTTCTATTTACATATTTCAAATAAATTTCATAAAACTCTTTGTAATCATGTACATATATTTTGATGAGAGTAAATTCTTGACACTTGACTCCTTCTCCTTCGGATCTCTCATGATCTGCACAGGCCTGGTTATTGACTCGGCTGAAGATGGTGATTCTGCTTCCATAGTAAATTAGGTTTTTCTTGTAAAGCGTGTTGAAATGCCAGTTCACAAACTTGTCGTAGTAGGGATTCATGTTGGTCGTAATGAAGGATCTCCTCCAGTCACAGAAAAGGCCCAAAGAATTCAGATGCTCCTTAGCTTTGGAGGAGAAATAATAACACCAGTATTGTGGATTCTGAAAGTGGTGAATTTCTTCGTCGCTGATATCCATCTGCTTCATAATTTCGTACTGTGTGTTTTGCTTCGATCCTTTTGATTGTACTTTACTTTTGTTGGACCTGAACACTGTTGCGTCTGTCTGTTTGGTTGTCTCTGTTTCTTTAGTTCTGTCTGTCTGTTCCGATTGGGGAGTGGCAACAACGGTTGCTTCGCCCACGTAGTTACCATCGTTAATCTCGCTTTTATTATCTTCTGGGGAGCTTCCCAGCACTTTTCCTTTTAACTCCTTCTTCAATTTGTCGGCACACACAACGATCGGCGTGCCTGTGCAGTGGAAAGCAAATGGCAGCAGCACATTCTGACACGTCATATTTTTGTAACGGACCAGGAACTCCAATTTGCTCAGCGTGAAGCCATGCCCTATGTGTAACAATCCATTCATATATGGATAGGGGAAGTTACCCGTGAATCTCGACTCGCTGTTATCAATGAATTCCTTTTCGTACACATTATGTTCCTTCCATAGATTCTGGATGTTCTTTTCTATGTTCAGTAGGTTCATTCGCCGAGCCATGGTTGGTTGGCTTCTGAGTTGATCGGGAGGACAAGTCAAGTGTCTATGTAGGTGCTGATAATCTGCGTACAGCGCGATCACACCACATGCGCACCTGGGAAGCGGTGCCTGCGTCTGCGCATGCTCGGCGGAGAGGGCCAAACTGGGGTCAAAGGTCTTAGTGGCAAAGGGGAGGCAAAAAGGAGCGCTTCTCCGCCCGAATGGAAGCTTAATTCGTGGCGCAATTGCATCCACCTTTGCCGCCAATCCGGTAGCCTCCTTCGATCACTCACCGTGGCCGCACCCCCTGACTGCACGTTCACGTGGCTGAGAGCAAAACTTGAAAATTCCAGCAGCAACAAAAAATAAAACAAATGGAGTGACACAAAGCGCGGAACGTGTCGTTCAAAATATATATGCATAAACGTACAAATCGACTTCGCGTGCTGGGCTCATGACGAGATTATCCTACGGACACCTGTGTTCACTCCACAGCTATCCACGTTCACCCCAAGTCCGTAATGTGTCGCAAGGAGCTTTGTTAAAAGGGGGCCCGCCGTACATATGTAGAGGAAGCAGGTTGGGGGAAGGGGGGGAGGCGCACTCATATAGAACATGTACATAAATGGGAATAATACAAAAATATGAACATATATAAAATGGGAAACACAAAAATATAAACATGTATAAAATGAGAAATACAAAAATATCAACATGTATAAATATAAAAATATATGTAAAAGGTGTACCATGGAAAAGTTGTGAAACTTTAAAAAAAAAATTATAAAAAAGCTGAAAAAAAAAAACGCATACATATATGTATATAATGTAGTGAGCACGTGCATCATATAAATGAGATGTATATATCTCTTCATTATGCTATGCGTTCGCGACGTTTCTACGTACTTGGTCTTTTGTTTTTATCTCGGTTAAGGGGGTCTACGAGTGGAGCTTGTCGCATCACCCTCATGTCAGCACGACAATTTAGCGAAAAAAAGTGGAAAAAGAACGGGAAAAAGAACGGACATGTTTGCTTTTCATTCCCTCCACCCGCTGTTCGCACGGGCATAGATATTTTTCTTATGTGCGTGGAAGCCCAGCGCAAAATGGCTGTGGGTAAAAGGCCCAGGGGAACTGCGTGCAATGACATTTTTTTTTTTTTGCGTGGGGGGGTATGGGAATAAAGTGGCGGCTTATATCTATATACGGCTCCTTTGTTTCACTACGCTGTGAAGGTGTATAATGTCCATCAGTACATGGTATGTCATTTGGGGCGAGAGCGGCGTGTTGGCTCTCCGCTTATCCAATTGGCGTGACTAACTTAATTGGCAATCCACACCTTCCCGTGGCCATTTCAGTTGGAGATTTTCTTCATCCTTGCAGAGATGTAACAATATAATACTCCGCGCATGAAGCGGGAACCCCCACCTCCATGCATCAACTCCGCGTTTGCTCCCGCTTGTTCAATTAGGCATTTGTGCGGTCCTTTCATTGCTGCCGTTGCAGCTTTTTTTTCACTAGAATTTTTTACAGGCCAATTTTGGGAAGGTTCGCCAAATTGGGGTCAACCCTTTGGAGTATCCCCGGTTGCCCCCTACCACATGTGCAACACGCCCTTTTCCCCCCATGGCATACGCGAGCACATATTAACAGGGCGGGGGGGCGAAGCGTCACCATAAGGGAGGGACTACATACATTTTATGCGCCTTTTTTTGTATGCCATTTAAGTGTCATTTTTTTTTTTGTGGAACTGCACAGAGGAAGAAGGATTTAGTGACAATACCGCGACGTGATTGTTCAAATGTGTTCGTAATTCACCCACGAGGGGGACATAACATGCGTACACATATGATGCGTGACTGGCATGGCATACTTGACTTGACGTTCATGTCATGTGCAAACAGGAACGATGTACGCATCGCCAGGTGGGAGGATTGGACCTTTCATTTGTTTCTTCCCCCGTCTGCCAAGTGGGGATATTATCCATATACATAGATATATATATGTGCACATGCGCACATGTGAAAACCTCGCGACGCCCAATTCGTGGCGACACCGCGTGGACCGCATCGGATAGAGAGAAAGAACGCACAGTTTGTTCGTAACACCTCTGGGCTTTCCCCGCGTTGGACAAATATATTTTTCCCCTCTACATGCGCAAAGTGGAACTCATCCCCCCGTGTGTGCCATCCATATGTCCCATCTATGCGTCCCATTTGTCTGCCCCACCCCCCGTTCTGCTCTACATGCCTTCCTTGCGCAATGTGTTCCATTATCATTTAAAATATGCTTCCCCGAGTGGGTGATCCACGCACGTCGCGTTTACATTTCTAGCAGTCCAGCGATCACTTATATACCCCCCCCTATGTGCCAGACAGAACGTCAAAGATGGCGATTGCGCGTCGGTTCCCCCCCCTGTCGCTGCTATTGTTGCTGCTACCGCTGCTGCTTTTTTTCTTGTTCCAGCTCTCCCTTGCCTTTGTTCCCCCGAAAGTAAACTACAAGTCGCTGACCTCTGGCTCACGTAACTATGTAACGAAAAAAAAAGAGAAAAAAAGAAAAAAAAAATCGAGTACGCCATTCTCACGTGTGTCGTGTGGGAGTTTATGCCCGTGTGAATTCTTTTCCGCACGTGGACAAGTCTATCCATCGCCTTGTTTCAATTCTCTTCTTCTTTTTCTGTCCGTTATTACTCGGGGTGCATCTCCCCCTGTGGATTACGTGATGTGTAGCCCTGCGCTACCGTCCGAATGCATTTAACTTGTCAATATGACACTCATACGGTGATGATGCAGCATGTGTGGGGGGTTCGCTCCTTCCTAGACGCACACAAATGCATCTGTACAAACGCGCAAAAATGCGCATAGATGATTACCCCCTTCTACACGTATACACATGAGACCGCTTTTCCGTCCCCCTCTTCTCAAGTAGCATAGCCACACACAGAGAAAAAAGGGAATAATACAAAGGAGTCCCCTGATTATCCGCGCGTCCCCCAATTTTTTAAGCAGCATAATTACCCCCCTGTCGAATGAAAACGTTAAAAAGTACTTCGTCTTCCGATACCTATCTCGCATATGCGTATCGTTAAGTAGCGCCTTCTCCCTAAACGCAAAAATACACATGTATAGGCAGAACAGTGACAACTTGCTGCAGACTCAAGTGGTAATATACAATGAGATTCTCGTCAAGGTTCTGAGAGTTTGCTGGCTCTACAAGCTAAGATCTTTTGTTGATAGCAATATAAAATTGTGTAGAATTCTGTCCACTGTCTTTTATGTTATTGGCATTTATTTGGACTTATTGTCTACTCTAGACTTTTTTAAGAATTCCTTTTTTTTCCTTTCCACGTTTTATGTCCTTTCGTCTACCCTTAAAAGTTTAAGCATCATGACTTATTCATCCATCCGGTCTGCCACTTACCTTCGTCTGTGTGAAATGTTGAACAATCCAAACGAGAGTGTCCCCTCGGTACGTGATAATATCAATCGAGAGAGCAGGGTGGAACCCACAAATGATCACTTAGTTACGGAGGAGGGGAGTCAGATTCGTACAGACGGAGTAAAGTCCAAGGGGGACAACGAGGCAAATCCCTTGGGAGAAGATACACACGTGCCTCTTCTCGCCGCAGAGCAGGGAGACATCCCTCGGGTGAGTTCTTCAAATGGGACCCCCAACAGTGAACGCGGCAACTACTGCAGCAGTTGCGCTACTAACTCCGTCAACAGTGTGAAGAAGACGTATTTCATTGGCGAGGTGAGCGTCCTCATGGATTTGCTGGCTTCCCTCGTGGACCTCCTCACCGTTGTGCTTCTCGCACGGACGACCAAGTACATAAAGAAGAAAATTTCTTTTTACTTCCTCCTGTCCTCTCTGCATTTGTTTTTCTGCTACAAGGAGTTGCAGTGCTTGTTGAAGTAGCTCACCGGGGGGAGTGATCACCCTCGCATAGTTAAGATCACACTGCGGAAATGAGCAGTCTGATCAGTTGCGCAGAAAAATTCCCAACAAAGGAATATATACCTTTGGGGAAACTTGCTATCTGTATTATGGAAACGTTTATTCGGCAGAGCATCACGTTAACCTGTCCATTTCGCATTTGTCAACCCTTCAAAGGAGGCTTCACACCTCTTAATTTTTTTTTTTTCTTTTTAAATTCATTTCCACATGAAAGAACTGCTCTGCAGCATTCTTTCCCATTTGTCACTTTTTTTTTTTTTTTTTAAACATTAAAATGTTCATGTGTGATGATAAAGAAATGGTTTATTTAATCTGACCAGTCGTACATAATCCTTCTGCGCAAAAATGTGCGTCTTTATAAAGCGTGGCGGCACAGGGTGGGGAGATCCCTCGTACGGTTGGCAAAGGTGGCGAGAACTGGGCTGTTCACATGCACCGCGTCTATCTGCCCGTGTTGTGGCGCAATCGATTGCTATCCCCGCGGCTGATGCAGTGACCCAGGTGTGGTATTTCAAAACTTGGAGGGGCGTTTAATCTTTCCCCCCTTTAGGGAGACAACCTCGATCAGCCCCAACCATTTGCGAAACATATGCGTGACTTAGAAGTTGGCGCACGAGCGGGTACACAAACGGGTAGACAAACAGGTACACAAAAAGGCACACCAGCTATGTGTATTTATATTCAGACGTCCCACTCGATGCGGCTTCTAAAAAATGCAACGACGAACGAAAAAAAAAAAAAAAGACGGACGGGCTAATTAGTTTTTACCCCCCATTCTTCCGTTTATTTTATTTTTCCCCTTTAAATCGGCATGGACACCTCCGATTGGCTCCCCCCACGGATGTCCTTAGATGCACTGTTAACATGGAAACGGGGCACACCTTACGACGGGGGGTGGAGTCACTCGTGTTCCCATTTCAGTCTTCCTCCTCCGGGTAGGTATAGGGGCAGTCGATGTAGAGTTTCTGCGAAAGGGAAGTTGGGGCGATGCGGTTATCCATACATGCTGGAAGAAGCAGAGGGTGCAGTATGGCGGCATGTGTACTCCTCGAATAGTTGGCGCACCCAGTTCGTGCTTACCCCCTTATTTATCCTCTTCCAGAAATTGTTAAACCACACACCCCAAAAGTAAGACGTGATGCAGCCACTCGTTACGACGAACATCCAATAGCGGCTGTTGTGCTTCAGTATGTGATCATAGATTCTGCAAAAGACGGGAAAGGTTGGGAGGACCAAATGGACACGCTCAGGCGTGTATACACGTACGTGTGAACATGTGTTAACTGCGAAATTGCCACCCTTCTGCATACATAGCCCCGTAGACGGAGAGGAGAAGCCGGGAACGCACTCCCTACCTGGTCTTATTCAGGGCAACGAAAAAGGGGTTGAAAATGTCCTTGCCCTTCCTACTCTTGGCAAGGGATTTCCAGATGAACTTGGGGTAGGTATCACTGAATGGACTTCCGAAAACCACTATAGAAGGGAACAAAAAAAAAAAAAAAAAAAGGATTCACGTGTGTTTATCACCCTGTTGGAGGACCTCACCCTTGCCGTGACAAAGGTATATACTGATACGTTTTTTTATGCATTCTTTCCGCGGATTACACTGGAACAGGCATGTACTTATGTGTCACTTACTTTTTTATTCTTTTCCAAATTAACAGTTTTTTCTTTTTTTTTTCACGTAGTGTTTATATGGTCATATAATGGTTACTATTTCGTGATGCGAAGTAAAACGTTTTGGCGAGGAAAACATGTTAAGGCTGAGGGGGGAAGAAGAAGAAGAAAAAAAAAAAAAGCGTTGGCACCTCTGATGTTTGGTTCTTCCTCACAGCGGCAGTCGCACGGGGATTAAGTAAGCGCGAGGGAAAAGAGCTCTGATAGGGCATTAAAGTTGGCGATACCCAGCATGGAGGTCCTCAGGATGGCGATACCCAGCATGGCGGTACCCAGCATGGCTGTATCCAACTTGTCCGTATACGGCTTGGAAATTTTGTTTCACTTTTGCAACTTTCGGCAGAGGGAGATTGTGTTCCTCGCCGCGAATGTACCAGAGCAGTCTCGTGGTCCCTATGGAAGTTTTCCCTCGTCCATTCGGATAACCCTAAAAAATGAGAAGTGAGAAAGTCGGCGTAGTGTTTATAAGCTGCTATTCATTCTGCGTTGTTGCGCGTTTTTTTTTTTTTTTTTTTTTCCGAGACGATTTCGTCGAATGGAAATACATTTATCGGATAACTTTCATCGGGGGAATAATCGCCAAGTGAACTTTCGTAGGAATGCTTCAGCCTATTTTTTCCTTTTTTCTTGTTTGTGGGGTTTCCCCATTTTGACACCAATCGGGTTGGCCGCAGCTGTCCGTGTAAAAGTAGTGCCTCCCCCATTGGGCGTCAATTCTGGTCAATTTATCCCCTCCCTGAATTGGCCATCTTCTTGCCACAAATCGTGTTTGTAAGCCCCCCTTGTGAGAATCGTCTTCGGCAACCCTGTTTTATCTGCCTTTAGAATGTGCAAAGAACACACGGTTGAGAAACATTTCTGAAGTACACAAATTGATAAAAGGGGGAAACCTCCTAGGGGGAAGTTTCAACCCCGGCGGAGGGATCTGCGCGCAGGAGTCCCCTGAGGGGTAACTGCTCTACACTGTGCCGTTCGCTCTGTGACAAGGGTGCATATAGGAAGTAAGTCAGAAGGGCAAACATCTGAGCTGCCAAACGGCGAATCGCAGCAGACAATGAACCTAATCCTCGTGAGCCTGAAGAATATTCGCCAAAATGAGGTGGGGGAGTTCTTCTTCCAAACGGACGAGCGGCAGACGAGCCATTTAAGGAGTATCCTAAAGGTTCAGCTGAACCAGGTTGTGAAGGTGGGTGTGATAAATCGGGGAAAAGGAGAAGGAGTCATTACTGAAGAGAGCAGTAAGCATTACACAGTTAAACTGTTAACACCGATACATTTGCAAAAGTCGGAAGACACCTACATACCCATCGATGTTGTCATTTGCATCCCAAGACCAAAAGTGTTGAGTAAATTTCTCCAGCAGTTATCCTCCGTAGGGGTGAAAAAAATTGTCATCGTGTTTTCCGATTTTGCAAATAAATCGTACGAATCAAGTAAAGTTTTAAAAAATGAAGAAATCAAAAATTCTCTTCAGCTTGGATTGGAACAAGCCATGTGTACACAGTTTCCAAAGGTTTTTATTCACTACTCATTTAGTTCGTTTGTAATGAACATAGACAGATATAGTAACGAGAAAACGATGAAGCTGTGTGCACATACTGAGGTTATGAGAAATGGCAGCTGCCTAGAACGCGACATTTTGTGTACAGAGCGAGGGAAGATACTTCTTATGGTAGGTTGTGAGAGGGGCTTTTCAGAACTTGAAATTTATTTAATTAGAAAATTGCAGTTTCGCTTTTTCAATTTGACGGAGCGGATACTGAAGTGCGAAACGGCTTTGCTGGTGATCATTGGCCAGTTGTTATTACTAACGGAGAACGTAGCGCTTCGGCCCAGCGGGAGCAAAATGCGCCGCGAGGAGGGCGAAGTGGAAGAGGTGACCCATGTTAGCGGCGTGGGCATGAGAGACGTGAGCGACATGCGGTGCTCGAACCATGTGGGCCCCCATAACGGCTGCGCCAATTCAGAGCAGGAACCGCGCGGTCCCCCAACGGAAAACGATCCTTTCGGCGAAATTAAAAAGTTACTAGCGGCGGAGCCGTCTTTTTCTCACCAGTTGATAAACGCCGTGAACGATTTTATTGACAGCAGAGCTAACGATAGTGACGCGCTCGAAAGTGACCCCTGTGATGGGGAAAAAAATGGCCGCCTCACCGGAGGGGAGAGCGACGTTGACGCCCTCCTTCGAAGCATACACGCGCTAAGTATGAACAAGGACCAAGAGGAAAATTTTGAAAATATATACTTAAGTTTGCTACTGAAAAAAATCAAGTACAAAAATAGATTTATTCTGTCCTACACCGATCAGGAAAATAATATGGACGACGACGGGGTTTTCATATACAGAACGAAGCCATATGTGTCCAAAAAAAAAAAAGGCCCGTCCTGACGAGCTGTAGCCCACCCAGGGGGTAATACATCCGTTCGTATCTTCCTACATGAACGCAAGTGTGCACGTGTTTGTGTATTTATCATTCGTTATTTATTATTCGTTATTTATTATTCGCTATTCATTATTTATCATTTTTTTTGGTGACTGCTTTAAAGTTCTTTCATCGTTGAAAGTGTGTGCCATGTCGGTGCGCTTTTAATTCTGTCAAATAGGGGGTTGCCTCCTTTTTGGTTTCCACACGGGGGGGAAGGGAAGTTGCCAAAAAATGGCACTCTTCTTTTTACCGTAAAATGGCGAAAGTGAGGAAGTCTCCCCATGGCGTCATTTTCACCTGGAGATGTTCATACACAATTTGTTTGTGTGGCACACCCATTGGATAATAATCCAGAATTTTTTACAAACAATTTTTCTTTTGTCATCCCTGTAAGGGATACTTCTCCCTCAGTTGGTTAATTTTGTCCTCGAATGTTACTTCGTATGGAAATCGGGGGAACTGATTGCCATACAGTCTTCTCATTTGTATCCACTTCGTAAAACATTCAATTTCGTACACAGTCATTCTGCACACATTAATTTTTTTTTCTGTCAAAAAATGATACATTTCTTTCCTTGGCACATAATCTGGATTTATTCCTTTGATGTAGTATTCCCAACTTTTGCAGCCATCTGACATGAGATCATTAAGGAAATTTTCAACTGATGTTGTTTCGCTTTTTGCTGTCGTGAGGTATTTGTAAAAATGTGTTCTGCTGTTGCATCGCTGCGGCGGGTTGCTGCGAAACAGTTTTCTCATCATTTGTCAGGGGGGATTTTTTGGCAGGCTATTTAACTGTGGTGGTTTCATCTGGGGGGGCAGTCCTTTAAAAAATTTGTGTGTTCCGCTGCTTTGTTATATTATCCCTTTTGATCATCACATGGTTTTTTTTTTCTTTTTTATTACCGCGTTTCGTGGATTGCTTTTTTTTTCTTCTTTTTTTTTCAATTTCGCCTTGTCGAAGGGGTACATGAGGAGGGCGCAGAATAGAGAAGAAAAGCTCCGTTGCGGAGGTGTCGCAAAAAAAAAAAAAAACCAATGGAGCTATACCATCGGTGAGGGAACCTTTTTGGAAGTTACACGGTGTGAGCGTATGGCACACGGTTCCTTTTTTTTGAGTGTGCTTTACCTGCGAATTGCGTACGCGAAATTTTGCTTCCTCCGCGGGGATAAGTTTCCTCCATTTTGCTCACTTTACGCGAAAGGGGACGCACAAAAAGGTGAAGGGGGTCCAGCGCGCCGCCTTTATCGCCTTCACGTTGAAGTTGAAATATATTGACAAAATGATGGAGAAGAAGAGGAGGAGTAAAAAAATGAGGGGGCTGTAAAAGCTGTCGAAGCGGCGGCGTCCCAGCAGAGGTTCCTTCGTCTTTCGCCTAAAAAAGGGAGGAAGTGGTATCGCGGGGGAGTGGTGAAAGGATGCCCAGGCGAAGTGGCGAAAGGATGTCGCGGCGAAGCGGTGAGAAGATGTCGGGTGAACGTGGAGAAGGAATGTCGCGATGATCGGGCACCCCTGGGGGGTCATCATTACACACTGACATGCACCGTACCGCTCAATAATCTCGATGCGTTTCAAAAAGAGGAAGTAGGACGATATGAGAGACGAGAAGGAAGTTGCGAGGAGCAAAATAATGACAATGTCCAAATGCTCATTTTCATTTTTATATTTTTCTAAGAAAAGTGCCAACAAGGTGATATACACGGAGACCAGGGAGTAATGAAGAAAAGTTCTCTCCGCGGCAAAATTTATTTTGGGATCCATTTTCAGCAGGTCGATTTTCTCCTGCGCATTTTTATTTCTGCTATATTTGTGACTCAGCCAGAGGGAAGTCTTGTCTAACATGTTCCATTTTTCTAGGGACTCATGAGAGGCTGGGGTGATCGTTCGGTGTATATAACCGTTCGCATCAATTTTGTTTCTTCTGTTCAGAAGGAGGTTACTATTTTCCCACTGTAGGGGGATTATTTCGTGGCGGTCACTTGGTGCAGGGGCGATAATGCCAACCCTTTCGATGGTTAGCCCAACTGCTGCCTGCATAGAATCGACGTTAGGGTTATCTCCCTTTGCAGAACTACTACAGCCTGTGAGGACGGATTCGGCATAATTATTGCTAGGCTTGAATTTTTCATGGACATTAGCATGGATCCAGACAGGAATGTATTTAATTTTCTCCGGGTGTAACAAAGCCATGGCTGTTTGATATTTTGAATACTTATAAGCGTTAATAAAATGGTTACTGTTTAGTATGGCTTGGACCCACTGTGGGATTTTCTCTACTTTCAGTTTGACTTCTATTATTGCATAATTTAATCGCCTTATTTCATTTGTTCGCAAGGCCTCCTCTGCTAACCTACACCAATGGTCTCTTTTTCGTACGTATTCGTTCAGCATGGACACGTTTGTGTCGATGGAGATCCTGACAGAGTTGTCGTTACTGAGTTGGAACGCCGATCTGAGGTAGGATGTTCTGATGATGGGTTCCAGCCCATTTTTGGTTATCATGGCTTGGATCTCCGTAGCGAGCGCCTCGTTCTTCTTCGTTTTCTTGTGCAAATTAATCGAAGAAGGAGTTTTCGCCACTGAAGGACTTCTCAGAAGGGTGGGTTTCTTCCCCATTGCGGTTCGCCTCTTTTGGAAAAACTTCCGCACGTCCATTTGGCCAGTCATAAACTTGAACAAGTGCTTCTGCTCCAACTCGAATCTCTCCTTCGTGGAGGTCTCTCCGGTCCACTCCTCGTGGTGAATCTTCCTCTCAATAAAAATGATTTTCTCGGGGTCTCCATCGTTGTCGTTGTACCATCTGAACCGAATAAGTTGTGCGTTCTCATATCTCAAAATTCGGTTACGGTAACACGTGGCTTCTTTATTGTCCAAGTAGACCGAAGTTATCTGTTGAGATTCGTTGAGCGCTTTGTTTTTCCCCTGCGTATGGTCAAAGTCTGCACCTGTCTCATCGGCGAGTTTGCGCTTCTTCATTTGGACGAATTTTCGGAAGTGAGCCTCCAGGTCCTGGTTGCTTAGGCCAAATATTAAATAAGGCAGGTGCTTTACAATTTTGACTTTGGTGTATACGATGTCCTCGTACTTCATTAGAAACTTCGTTGATGTGCGTTCGAAGATCTCGGGTGGAACCCAGGTCTTGCCCTCTGGGGGGGTAGCTGCACTGTATGGGTCAGCGGCACTGTATGTGTTAGCTGCACACTTCGAACGGTGCAGGGCATACAAGAGGGAGAGATACACCACCAACTCGTCCACATTGATGTTGCAGAACTTCTCCTTTATTAAGCCAAGGAGCAGCCACTGGTTGATGGAGATGCTCATTACATGATCGAAAAAAAAACCCAACTTCATTAATATTTTGCAATTCTTGTGAATGTAAAAGTCAAAATGCACAATATCACAGCCTATTAAGTCTATCTTCTTCTCCAATTCTTCTTCTTCGTTTTTGTCGCGGTAGCTCTCGACCGACTTCAGCTGCTTGTAGGTTGTCATCAGGCTGTCGATAATTTCGTCGTATTTTTTTTCCGAAAATTTGTTTATCTTTTTGATTTCCTGGGTGATGAGGTCGTTGAACAAGAAGGGGGGCAGCAGTTTTATGCCTGTGGGGGTGGGGGGAGGCACACAAGGGGCAGTTAGGCTGGGCGACGAGAGAGGGGATGCGCGCACATGCCCTACTAAGGAGGTTGTTAACGGCCCTTCTAACGACGATACTAACGACGCTTATAACGACGCTACTAACAACGCTCAGTTTAACCCTGCTCGTCAACCCTCCTGGCAGCACTTCGCATGAAGTCCTTCTCGAGCTTCAGGGGAGGAAAATGTGTGGTGATGTGGTGCGGCGATATAAGGCGGTGTGTGGGGGGGGAACGGACGCAGAGTTCGCCCAAGCGTGTGCTCATACACATGCACACACATACGCGGAGGGGTCGCAGCAAAAGCAGCCCCTCGCTGCCGAGTAGGGCTCTCTTGTGCGTACCTTCTTTTTGTACTTGTGCCCCATCTTGAGTATAGTCCTTTTAATCTTCTTGTACGAGACGTAGTACTTTCGGTAATGCCTCGGCACGTCCACCATTTTACCGCTCTCCATTTGAAAGTTTATCCTGTTTTGTGTGAAGACGGGGGGCTGGGGGAAGGCAGATCGGGGCTATACTACCTTTCAGGGGGGAGGACACCAGAATGGGCCTGATCGGACACACGCTTCTTTGGCGCCTCCCCCCGAGAAGAGGAAAGCTAAATGGGCGGTATGCAACCGTTGCGAGTTTTCCAATCAGGGGTCAGGTTTTTCTTAAGGGGGCAATTTCTGCATAGGTTTACGTCGCGCAGGGGTAGTCTCCCATCCTCCGTGCGATCGTCTCTCCGTTGGTCTTGTGCTCCTTTCTTCAGTCTCCACCGGTTTCTTGTGCTGCCCCCTCAAAAGGTGTGCACACATGGAGGGCCCTTCTTCTTTTTGTTTCCTCCCTTTAGTGGCAGATATCACCCGCACAGGCAAATAAAACTGACTGAGTAGTGATCTTCCCAATTGAAACACATTTGGGGCTGCCTATCCGTAGGGTACCTACCCCGTTTAGTGTCTCCCTTTGGGTGTTTTTTTTTTCTTTCTTCTTCTTCTTAAAATATCTCTCTTGCAAAATTGGTCGATATGTAACCCCGCAATTGTGCCTTTTCTCTTTCCTCGAAAATATTCTGGATGGCAAAATTGTGCAATTCTTGGGGCTGGTCTTTAAAAAAAAAAAATTCCACCCTGCTTTTTTTTTTGTTCCTGCTTCCTTTTCGATGTAGAAAAATTACTTCCTAGCATTCCCCACCACATTGTGTCGCCTAGCTGTCCTTCTGCTCCCTTTTTATGTGCCTCGTGGGGCCGACCACGGCCCAAACATTTTGGCTAATGTTCTGAATATGTGCAGCGGGGCAACTGTAAAGTCGGGCTCCCCCCATCCCTATGCTGACTCGACGTTACACCACACGCATTTAAGAGTAACTCTTCTGGTGTCCAACACTTTGGCAGGTAATAAAAAGGAGCATAACTGATTCTATCAGTTGGTAAAATTAGGCACTCCAACGATTATGTCGTATGCTCCAATATACGTGCACGGTGTCAGATTCGTCTTTGAGCAAATGGGATCGAGGAAAAATTTTGCAGTAAAAAAATAAAATAAAATATTCAATTTATATATTTAGCATGTAACGAGCAACCGTTTCTGCGATATTTGTTTGGGTTTTTTTTTTTCTCTTTTCTGTAAATGGATTTCTACAAAGTTAAATTCTCAGTTTTTTTCTTTTTTCTGTTTATCCATTTTGGTTGCTTCTTTCCTTGGTTCGTCTCTCTGACCCACTTTCTCTTCTCCAACTGAAAGGATAGCAAAAGCGTTATAGCAACGCTTCGACAAAACGGCAAAACACAACGTCGCAGTTTGGCCTTTGTTGTCGACTTTCCTTCGTTCTCTGATTTAAGTAATTTTCCGCCTTTTAGATGACTGACGAGCGGGGACAGCTAATTAGGTATCGTAAGAAGCAGGAAACACAGAAAAGGAAGGAGCCATGACATGTAGTCATTCGTACAAGTGAATAGGAAGAAAAAGGAGAAAAGAGAAACATCACGTTTCCATAACCCCGACATAGAGCACATAAGAACAAGCATCGTGGCACGAAAACGCAAACCACCGGAGAGGAGCAGAAATTGCGTTCGAAGGATGACTATTGTGGAGGCACCCTAAGATCAGCTTGATGCATTCCACCCCTCCGAAGCGACTCATAGATCGGATAATCCCTTTAGAACAAAGTATATACCCCCCTTCGTCGAAGCAGGATGAGCAGCAAATTAAAATTTTTGACCCTGCTCTGTGTCGCCACCACCGGCACGTACTACATATGTGTGCACAAGAAGAAAGAAATTAAGGAGCTACTCAATTCCATGTTTGTAAAAGGCAAAAAGAAGAAACACAGACGGAGGGACAGTGTAAGGAGGAAGAATCCCAGTGGACGTAAGGCGAAGTCCTTGGCTAGCTTAGCATCGATGGAAAGCGAATCGGAAGCAGACAAAATTGTTCACGTGAATGAAGACACCTCTGTTATCAGCTCAGAAGATGACTCATATTTCCTTGACGCGAGGGAAGAGAGCCCACGGGGGGGGAATGGCCTGGTAGGCAGCCACACCAATGGCGGGAGCACGAAGAGGGAGGAAGCTTCCTCATCCGAAGAAGCAGAAGAAAAAGAAACAGAAGAAGAAGAAAACGAAGAGAGCACCCTGACCGATGTCGAAGATATTAACAACCTAAATGACCGAGCAACTTACAACGTTGTGCAGATAAAAGCGAAACATAGAAGCCGGGGGAAATACCTGAATGGGCTTCGGAATGGAACCCCCCAAAAGGGGGTCTTCCCAAAGGGAGTCCCTCCAAAGGGGACCCCCCCAAAGGGACTTCCCCACGAAGAGGAAGATTTCCAATCTGCGGATAACTTAAACAAATGCGGGGTCATCCTCCCGGAGAAGTACAAAATATATTTCAAGTCCTTCGGATGCGCACACAACAGCTCGGACTCCGAATTTATGATGGGCCTGCTGGGTAATTATGGATTTCAGTTTGTTAAAAGTGTGGAAGAGTGCGATGTGTGCATAATTAATAGCTGCACGGTGAAGAATCCAAGTGAGGAAAGTATGAAGACCATTATCAATTACGTGCACAAGTTGAATAAGGCCACCAGGAGGAGGGCGACTGGCCAAGTGGACAAAAAAGGGAAGAGGGGAAAGAATGGAGAACTGGGGAAAAAGGGACAAACAGAGGGGGGTGAACAAGACCAACATTTGGATTATCTCACAACGTCATCTTCTGGAATCTCGGATTTTGAGCGTGACAACGGGTGTGGGAAGGGAGAATCCAGCTGCTGCGCGGAGGCAGCATGTGCATGTGCGCCCGAGAAGGGCGATTCGAGTTTGGTCAAAAGGGCAGCAATGAAGGGAGCGACAGAGGAAATGGAAAAGGATGCAGTGGAGGTTGCGACAAAGGAAACGGAAAAGGGTGCGGTGAAGGGAGCGGCCGCCACAGCCCCCCGCCGAGACATCAAAATCATCGTCTGCGGATGTGTGCCGCAGGCGGAGAAGGACATGGAGATATTCGAAAACGTGTCGCTCGTGGGGGTGACCAACATCGACAAAATCGTGGACGTCGTGGAGAATGTAATTAACGGGTACAACGTGCGCTATCTGAAACATGCAAAAAAAATGACCTCACTAAATCTCCCGAAAATAAGAAAAAACAAGTACATAGAAATCATCAATATTAACAACGGGTGCCTGGGAAACTGCACCTACTGCAAGACCAAATTTGCCAGAGGGGACTTAGCTAGCTATAACATCTCCGACATTATTAACAGAATAAAGCATGTGTGCAGTGAGGAAAATATAAAAGAAATCTGGCTCACCTCGGAAGACACAGGGGCGTATGGAATCGATTTAAATACCAACATCGTCAAACTGCTGAAAGAAATTTTGGACACCATTTCCAGCAGCGACGTTATGATCCGCCTAGGCATGACCAACCCACCGTACATTCTGAAACACGTCAAAGATATATGCAATTTGTTAAAGCATAAAAATATGTACGAGTTTATTCACATCCCTGTTCAGAGCGGCAGTAACGGAGTGTTAAAAAATATGAACAGGGAATATCAAATTGAAGATTTTATATACTTAGTGGAAAATCTAAGGAAGGATGTTCCAAATATAACCATTGCAACGGATATTATATGCGGATTTCCATACGAAATGGAGAAAGATCACGTCCAAACTGTCGACTTGGTAAAAAAATATCAATTTCCGATACTTAATATTTCCCAGTTTTATCCCAGAAGGGGCACTGTAGCTTATGGCATGAAGAAAATTAACACGAAAATTGTGAAAAAAAGATCGAGAGAAATAACGGATGCGTTTCTTTCCTATATGAACAATTACAAATTTTTGGAAGGAACTACGCAAAGGGTTTTATTCACGGAAGTGTCCACAAAAAGTGATGACCTTATTGGGCACACGAAACAGTATGTTAAGGTGTTGTTGCAAAACAGGAACAATGAAAATGTGCATTTGTTGAGCCATTTCGCCAACTGCAAAATTGTTTCAGCTCATAAGTGGCACGTAGTTGCGGAAGTGGCGTGAAGAACGAAAGAGATGGCATGGCCCTTTTGTTCAGGTGGCCCTTCGGAATATCCCCGTTCATTCGAGTAGCGGCACGTCTGTGCCACGAGTGTCATTCGTTGCAACGGTGCAGCTGCTTCCTTTGCGACTATTTCGTTATGATTTGTGCAGGCATTTTTTTGTCCCCCCCTCTGCCGTATCCACAGCCATGATCACCGTTGTTGTTAATTTTTTTTTTTCCACCCATTTTGGCTAGTTTACCCTCGTTTTATCTTACCTGTTAATGAAAAAAACGACAGCTAGTTTCATTTACCCAGTCTGCTGTCCCACCCTTTTTTCGTTACGTGAAGATATGGCAATGGATGTTTCTTATCCCATTTTTTTTATACTCTCCAGTAGAGCATCCTTTGTAAACTTACTTTCCATTTGGTACGTGTTAAAAGGAAAAAAAAATTTAAAGGCTGTTATGCGGCCTCTATTTCGAGGGTTTGATCGGGAGAATAACTAAAAGAAGCAAATGGGAAGTGGGGATAATCGCTTTATCCCCCTTTGGCTTTTCCATTTTGTGTATCTCACGTGTGTGCTCCCACTGGAGTGCCACAAAACAAATTGGACGATGGTTGTACATTGATGGAAGTGGGCTGCACATTCGAATGAGGTGTGTGGCCTACGTTATGCTGTACCTGTGTGCGTACCCACTTGTCGAGTGCCAAACAACCAATCTGTCCAATCTGTCCAAAATTTCCAAAAGGAATAGTCTCCGTGAATACAAATGTGTGTGTGCCCCTGCTGAGTGCACCTCTCCCCACGCCATAGACATTATTTTATTTTTTTTTCGCACGATGAGCATACACGCGGGAAGGAGATTGTCCTTGAAGAGGCTTTTCCTTCCGCCCACACGCATTAAACAAACATGTTTCGTTTGTGAGAAAAGGGGCCAACTGGGGGGTTATTTTGCTTTGTTCTATTTTTTCAACTGTCAAATTGGCATTCTGCAAGATGAGCACCATTCGATATGCTATCCTTTTTTTTTTTTTTTTTTTCCTCACCAACATGTATAAAAATTATACACTTAGTAACTTTGCTGTGTACAAGTTGGACCTCGTGTGAGCGTCCCGCGGAAATGGAAAATGCGGAATGATGCAACATATGCATGGGGCACACACGAAGTCGCGAAATTGAATATGTATAGGTCTGTCTCATTGCTGAAAAGAAGTCTCCCCCTTTTTTTTCTTTTTTTAACATTTTTATTAAGCATAGTGCGTGTACCATATGGAAGCCACACGCTTGGGTGTTGTGTAGTTTGTTTTTTATTTGTCTGGAAGTTCCTCCTACAGAGTACACACCTTTTTTGTGAAATTATTTTGAGGGGATAAATACAGGGCATGTGATCGGTCGTATGTAGGTATGGACAGATTGGTACCTAAGGATGTACGAAAAAAAAAAAAGAAAAAAAAGGAAAAAAATCCTCCAATTTTGTTCTTTCACTATACTTTTCTGAAATACAAGTAGGTTAATAACATTGGCAACCTGTCTCACTTGCGTTTTCACTTTTGTGTGTCTTAAAAAGCAATTTTGAAAAAAAGGCATCAATGAGGAAGAGAGGCAAGAATGCCAAAAAGGGGAGCCCCAAAATTGCTTCGCTTGGCACTGCGAACGCCGCAACCTGCGTAACCCCCGCTAACGCCGCCAACCCACATGGCAACATTCCCGGAGTCAACTTCAGCCGCATAAAGAGCTCCTACTTGGAAGAGGCGCTAAAGCTGACAAACACAGAAAGCGTGAAACAAAAGTTAAAACGAAAAAATGATGAACTTAGGGGAATGATCAGAGGGGAGGACATCCCCGTGGTGCCTTGTCTGGACAGCGTACTGTCAGTACAAAGCATCCCAAGTGACCATGGACGAGGGGGAGAAGACACTAAGGAGTTGAAACATTTTGAGGAATTCGAAATTGTTCTAAGGGGAGGAGTGAAAGACGAGGAGGGGGTGGCTAGCAGAGAAGCAGAAGGGCAGAAATATTCGTGCGTGGTGAAGGACGCCGCACCATCGAATGAACAACCGTTCGTTTGCGATAAGGTGCCAAGTGAGCTAGACAGCGAAGGGGGCGAAAAAATAGAGGAAGGCGAAGCGGGCGAAAAAATAGAAGAAGGCGAAAAGGACAACGTGTGCCACTTTCTTAACAAAACGAAGGAGGCGTACAAATCGTTGAACCTCGAGAAGTTGTTTCTGGTTAACAGTTTTAATAAATCCCTCCCCAATGAAGGCGTGGAGAGGAAGCCAAACGGGGTATGCGAAAATGCACACAGCAGAAACCAGGACAAACTTAGCATAGTGAAGACTATCGAAAGGACGTTGAAGGGCCAAAATTCCTTCGTCATGGAAAACATATATAACGCGTTTAGAGGCACCATAAACGATTTTATAGACGTGTACCTTCAAGAGGAAGACGAAGAGATGGGTGGGGGAAGAAGCAAAGGGACTGCGATGAGGAAGGATACCACGATTCGCAGCGTGGATCCTTTCCGACATGGAGAAAAAGTTAAGCTAAGCGATGAACATGGTTTGAAAAAAATGTATCAGATGGACAATAATATCTTCTTTCCTGGGGGAGAAAAGGACAAAATTAAAGTTGGGCAAGGTGGGTATGCGACGAAAAGGGAGGAGGATACAAATGTAAAAAAATACCTGAGCCAGTTCGGTGATAAAAGGAGCTTTCCCCAGTTGGGGAGCAGAAAATCGGGTGGGCAGAGCAACTTGGGTGGGAAGACCAACTCGCATGACCACTCCAAATGTTGCAAAATAAAACCTAGTGGGGCCAACCTATTTGGGGAAAGCAATGTGGTGACGGGCGCTATGGCCTATCTCATGGGGGAGACTTCCAGATTGACGAACGGGCGCTCATCCGGAAAGAAGAGTCACGTTGTACACCCAGATCTGAAGAAACAGAAGCAGGTGGAAGAGGCATACAGTGCATACTACCCTGAGGCGGAGACATTTGAATATTCAAGCATCATTTCTGATTATTTGTATAAGCGGAAGGGGTGGCCGGAGAGAAGAAAGGATGATGGGTGTACCTCTTCCAGTGAGCATAATTGCGCGAATCGGGATCGCATGAAGTATGAGTTGCATCCCTCGATGGGTCCCCAAATGAGCAACGTGTTAAACACGCAGGTGAATGACAGAAGCGTATTCGACATTGCCCCCATGACGCACAAGTACAAATATGCCTCTAACATCATACTGACGATAAACAAAATAAAGAATATCGAGCGTGTGGTGGAAATTAATTTGAACATTACCGATGTGCAATTGAAAGTTCCAGGCATGCGTATCGAAAATGTGATATTGCCATATAAATATGCTAGCGATTTGTTAAGCATAAAAATAAAGACATTTTGTGAAGGAAAAGGTGGGACATCCCAGAAGGTGATGTGTAGGGAGGGTGGAGCCTTAGATGGTCACAAACCTGGGGAAGACAAAATGGGAAGACAAGACAAAGACGAAAAAAATGGTACGATTAAATGCTACTTTGTTTTCATCCCACTGAACCAAATTAAGGAAGGAGTCGTAAACAAAAGACTTATCTTAATCAGCTCAAAACGGAAAGAAGAATTTGAAAAAGAAGGGTTACTCCCTGATACTCTTTACATGATAGAATCTCAGAAGCTAAATTGTGAAAGGGAAAAACATATGTACATTTCGGTAAAGATTTGTAAAAATGGAGTTCATTTTTTCCCTTCTGTGAATCTCCATCGGGGGGAGGACAATCTGGAGAATAATTACCCATCCAGTGAGAACCTCTCCAGGAATGCATTCGAACCTGTGTACGTATGTCTATACAACGATGAAGTGGATAGAGAGATTGGGAGTATACTGAATGGAAGGGGGCTAACGAACAAGGTAAGAATAAGCAAGTTAGTTACGAAAGGACATTACCTGGTTAATAATTTTCCCTTCCATTTTCATTTTAACAGTTCCAATGTGCTGATTTGTAGTCATGGGGACATTACAGAGGAGGCGGAAAAGCTGTTTCATCATCTTGGCAAAGAATTCACTCCCCTCGAAGAGTTCATTCCCGTCGAAAGATTCACTCCCCTGGCAGAGTTCATTCGTGTAGAAAGCCTCATTGACCTCTTCCCAACGCACATATTTCCACCGGTGGAGGACGTCCTACACTTGGACTTAATTAAAAGGAATGAATTTTTACAATTAAAATTTGTTCTTCATTTTTTGGCCATCACTGAGATTATATGTATCCATTTGTGTTCCCTCTTTGGGTTCCACGTGGATTTGCAGCCTCTCTTTCGGGACCACTTGAACGCAGTTAAAATGGACGATGGGACGGGGGAGGGGAACCGCTTCACCTTCCTCTACACCTCTTACGAGGAGGATGCGGAGCCCAGTGGCTACTTTCTGAACTACACCAAGCCGTTCGTTTTCCGTTTCCAGAGTGAAAAAAACAGATGGGACAACACCAGGGACAACAACTGCGAAAATGCGGAGGAGGGAAAACTACCTACCCATTGGGACGACAACGACCTCTTCATCATGGACTACGCACGCAAGCAGGCCATATTTCTACACAATGTGATAAAGCACCATGGAGACATTCAGAGTATACCAAAATGCTATGACAGGAAGAAGCGTCTTTTTTTTACGACAGACAGCAGGAAGAAGCAATTTCAAATTTATTACATGTCTATTTTGAGAAGGTACAACTTGCTACTTAACAGGGGAAACCATGGGAGGGAATCAGCCAAAGTAGCCATCCAACCAGCCGCAAATGGGCAGAATTCCCAGTGGGGTAGCCAGACAGAGTTTATTCAGAATGGAAACAACTCCACAGATGGGGGCTGCTACAGGGGGGACAAGCTCCACGGGGTTCCCCAGGCGAGGGACCACTCTGCGGTTGAGATAAGTGCGACTCTTAAACGGCAAGGTGGTGCTAATACCAATGCACCGATTTGTACAAACGGGGTGGAAAATGAAAAGAGTAGAAGCCACTTGGGGGTTACCAATTGGGGAGAGAAAGTAAGAGGAGAATATGTACACAGAGGAAGTGGCGCCTTACGGGGGAAAGCTCCAAAAGTTGAAAACACATACAGGAGAAACGTCACCGTGACAGGTCAGGCAAAAATGGCGGAAGAGAGAAGCTTTGCTGGGGGTAACAAAACGACAGAGGAGGAACAGAAGTTATCCATTAGAGAGGAAAATAATACCCATGGTGATAGTGCTACCGAGAAGACGTCATTTTACAATCTGAGAGAATACAAGAATTATCATTTCCATGAGAAAGCAGCTGGTGAAATATTTTGTAAAAATGGCAACTCACTTGAAGACTTGGACCGAGGGAGGGACAGCCATGAAGTGATAAATGGAAATGGATGGCACGTGGATGGCAAGGGGAAAGAATCTCCTACTAGGGAACTGCCTCGTGTGCATGATGATGAGATCGCTTATTATAACATGCATAGAGAGGATGTCCCGTTCAGTCTGGAGAATGTCAAGTGGGATTTTAATGACGACGATGTGTACCCAGGTGAGCATCATCCTGTGAATGCGGGTTATTCAAATGGATACAGCAGCAGGGGGGGTGATAACCTGCGCAAGGGCATTGGCTACGGAGGGGAAGTCCAACAGTGTGGTGTCAGTGCTAGTTCGGAGGCCACTCCTCGGGGGGGTGCCGGGGCGGACAGCCAGACGGTCTCCATTGCGGAGGTTAGTTATGGAAGCGGATACGGCTACAACGAAGGGTGCACCGAACAACACAGCGAAAGCTACGCCGATCGGTTGATCCCCGGACGAGATGCGCGCCTTCCCGGGGCGGCGAACCAGGACTGGGTCGCTTCAAAGGTCTCCGCATCCAAAGTGTGCATCGATCACACGGACCACATGGACCACGCAGCCAAGCATTGCAAGCTGGTTAGGCGAAGTGATAATGAGGCATAGACAAAGGGGAGGAGTACCTCGGCAATTACCATTACGTTCTTGCTTGTGCGGGAAAGGGGGATGAGGTGGTTGCCCGGGCTTACACCATTTGGGGAGAAATCAGCCGAATGGCTATTTGAACAGAACAAAAAAGAAAAAAAGAAAAATAGATAAAGAGATGAATAAGATAAAATAAGATAGTCATTAAAATGATAACCAAAATATTAATCATTAAAATGGCACATTCCCGCGTTAAGCATTACAAAGTGTGGAAGGAAAAATCCTCCTCTCATTTGTGCACACTGAGCAAAGCCGTGCTTCTTTCCTCACACGGTGCTTCAATAGGGCAGACACGACAATGCGCGTATGCCTTCCCCGTTTTTTTAAGCAGTGTTGCTCGTTTGTGCCTCCTCTCACTGTGTTGCATTTTTTTCTTTACTTATCTGCACTCCCCCTTTTTTTTTTTATTTTTTTATTGTCCTCAGTGTGATTGTTCCCTCCTGGCTAGGAGCCACGGTGTACCGTAGGAACGGAGCAAATCTTCCTTCTACCCCCCACGCACACATTAATTGAGTGCGCTGACGGGGCTACCCCTCCTCGTGCTTGTCCAAATAGAAGTACGTATATATGTAGAGATAACAAAAAATCATATGGATTAAAATTAGACATATTAATAACTTGATTAAAATCCTTTTATGATTCTTCGATATGGATCGTCTCCACTGATTTGTTTTTTCCCATATGAGGCGCAGTCCTCGCCAGATGGTAGACTCCGTTCGTTCATTTCCATGATGCGCACGTTCGCCTGCTCCGTTGTTCCTTCGGAGGGGTAGTAGGGGTCGGGGGGAATATGAAGCGTGCCCGCAAGGTGAAGTGAAGACCGGTGTGTGATCCGATGTGTGATCCGACGTGTGAACCAACGTATGAACCGACGTGTAAACCTCCATTTGCATAGAGCAGTTTTCCCGCTCCCCTTACCTCTGGGCCAGGTGAACATACAGGGTGAAATCCCGGTTGATGCGAAAGAACGGCTTGGCGAAAAAGAGGAAGTGCACTGGATCCTCGGAGTCGAAGTAAATCTGCTGATTCTCGCACTCGACATTGATGAAACAGTTTTCTCTCATATTGGTGGCTAAGAAAAGAAAAAGCGGGCGGGGGGGAAGCTGTTGAGGGAAAAAATATATACACGTCCATTTGGCTGTGATGAGATTCACAAATTGAGGCGTAGTCGTGCGACCCTCCACATTTAACTACTTCTTGGAGACATCCCACAGGTGCTGCTCTCTATGCCCTCATCCAGGTTGCCTTAATTTTTCCACTTTGAAAAGTCCACCGATTGGTAAAATCTCCCTGTGCAATCTTTCCGCCTTACTGTTAAGGAGGTTGTATCCTGCCTTCAGATTTTTCTTCGAACTACAGCCGTATTCGCAAAAGTGAAATTCCTCTTGGCAGTAGTATCGCCAGGAACACGACAGGTTATTCAGATCGCTGGAGTCATTTTTCTCGTCAAGGAAAGCGACATATATCATTTGGTAACACGTGCACCTCAAAAAGAGGTGGAGAAGGATGATTAGCGTTCCCAGCCATACATGGTTCATGTTTTTACGGACAACAGGAAGGGAAACCAGATTGGAAGTACGTCCACGCTCAGACGACACACATGAGAGGACAGACGTCACAAGGATCGGCTCGAATGATTTGTTACGCTTTCCCTCGGGGTCACCATGAGGCAAGTCACATTTCGGCTACTGCGAAGCGTAGACAGGGCCCAATTTAGGCGCAATATCGGTCCAATTTTGCACCAATTTTGTGTAAACTTTTTTTATGTATCAAGGGAGGACAGTAAAAAAGGGGAGAGACGTAAGCCACTTGGGGATCCAAAAAAAAAAAAGGACTCTACATTCTCTGTTGAAGAGGTTTATACGATTTTATATATTTTTTTTTTCTTCTTTTTTTTTCCTAACAGGATAGGGAACCTTTTTTTTGTGCTAATTTATTTTATTTTACTTTTTTTTTTTTTTTATCACTAGTGGAGAATAACAAAATGTACATTTGCCGCTCACTATGGGCCTTTTCCGCACCGTTTTTCTGCACTGCTTTTTTGGCCGTTTTTTTGGCGTCAATGCACCGCTCTTCACGGGGGAGGGGCGATACAGGGGTCGCTCCACAGCGTTACCAAGTTTGGCGCCTACTGCGCGTGTGCTACGTTTTGTGCCAACCGGATTATGCTGCTCATGGCGCGACACGCACCGTTGAGTGTAGGTATATGCGCGTAGCTATGCATATATCTATGCGTGCACATGCCATGCGCCCCTTCCCCCTTGCGTTCGCGGAAGGTGAGTTAGTTAAACGAGTTAATTTTTCGTGTTCCATGTGAACGGCAGGGAAATCTTCCATTTCGAGCATTTTTTCCCATGCGGGTTGATTTCCACTGGATTGGCCGCTTGCCATCCACTGGGTTAGCCGCTTGCCATCCACTGGGTTAGCCGCTTGCCATCCACTGGGTTAGCCGCTTGCCATCCACTGGGTTAGCC